TTTTATTTTTTAATTTTTTTTTCGCCTGCCCGCTCCATTATTTTTCTAGAAAAATCCATTAGGCCACACCAATTTATTTCCTTGGTTAACGGATTCGCCGCTTGCTTTTTTTGCCGAATGTAAATAAAAATAAAAAACGTCATAGTTTAGACCCCACAGGCCCTGAACAGGGAGACCCAATGAAATTGCTGCAGTTGATACCAATGTCGCTAGAGGCGCTCCTGCACACATAGTCACATGACGTAAAGTAGCCAATCGTGGATTGTTTTACTTTCTGGCCAATCAGATGCGATGTTCTGGAACCATGTTGGCTCAGTCATTTGTTTTTGTTCTGCATATGGCGGACAAAATTTGTGGCGGAAGCTTAAATTGTTTGAGAAAGCTGGAACTTTGGATCAAGGCAGAATCTAGGTACAGTACATGTAAAATTGAATAAATTTTGTCCCCTTTAAAGTTGTTGTGACTATGAAATTGCTTGTGAGAGTTAACATTCGTGTCATGTTTTAGAGTAACGCTACATATGATGGTGGAACTTGGAAGTACTGTAGTAACTGTTAACATGCTAAAACTTGTTTTCTGCATAATGTTTTTGCTCGTGTACGAAAAAGATTATCAACCCAATGGTGTGGATAGCAAATAAAACACAATACAGTACATCCTCTCTTGTCTTTTGTTTCTTTCCCAGTATTTTCGTAACTTAATAAGCAGTCTGGATTTCACACTACATTTGTACATGGCTGTATGGCAGGTAGTATCAAATTTTTATTTTTATTTTTTTTCGCCCGCCCGCTCCATTTTTTTCTACAAAAATCCGTTAACCAAGAAAATAAATTGGTGTGGCCTTAACCAAGAAATTAAATTGGTGTGGCCTAATGTCAATAACATGGGGATAGGTAGAACATGGCAAAACAGCTGTATCTTGTCTTGCACTTAATTACAGATCATACCAAAGAGCATGCCCCAGGGAAAGTGCACTGGGACATGTAATGTGGGTAACTAGAGATTAAAATCTAAATAATCTATCACAAAATCTTGCTTTTTGTCCTGTTTAAACTTCCTATTTTAGAGTCGTGCTCAAAACATATAGTACTGAGTATAGCGATGGATTTGTATTTTCAGTCTTCTAAAGTCTTGAGTTGGCCATATCAATTTTCTAACTTCAAAATAGCTTACCTCAGAGTCTGACTGGGGATCACCTGTTGCTTGGGCAGAAGTCTGTGGCTTTGTAGAGTTGAAACATCAAGGTCCTATAATTGTATCAAGAGCATAAAATATTCATCATTAGAAAAACTAACTTTATCACTTTAGTCATACCTCTTTTATCCTTTGAAAAGATTTGGTCTGGACATTACAATGCATCAGTATCATTTGCATAATTATACAAATTACAATACAGATTTGATCCAAAGTGACAACAACAAGTTAGTAAAGCGTACCTTTCTGTTTAGTGCTGTATTCCTCCTTTCGGTTGGAAGATGGGAGGACCATTTTCGACTACTCCTCAATGGAATCTCCTTTGGCAAGCTCAGTGCAAGTTGAGCTGAACTGGTCCTAGAGCTCTGTCTGAGTTCATCTCTCCCTAGTGGTGAACAATTGGACTGTCGAGAGTTCAAAGATCCTGTGCTAGACACAGAGGCAAATCCATTGCTCCTGGACAATGGCATCATGTCTTCTTGCCTGAGCCTTAAGCTTGTGGGTCCAACACTACTGGATGCACTAGAACTTGAGGAATTTCGGTTTGATTGTCGACTCGATGCCAGAGAGGTTCTAGCGCTTCCGACGCCAACGGAATGCGAAATGTCCCCTGAAATACTGCCGGACGACTTTGGTCTGTATGGCTGTTGTGCTTTGGCCGGGGAGCCGTTTACTCGTAAAGTGCAGGCGCTTTTCAGCGCCGGAGCGCTGCTTTGTGACGAGTTTGCCGAATGACGAGAGTACACACGGACGTTGGTTTGCTTTGAGGAAACATCATTTGACACTCCTGAGTTCAATGCCGCAGAGGAATCGCCTTTTACTTCCAAAGGCTGGCGTTCCGTCGGCTCGTAGGCTAAGGGTAGACATCTGGAGTTTCCTACATTGCTTTGTCTGTACGTAGTAGGATGGAATTCCCGGGACTGCTTTGCAAGGATGGCACTGTCTGGGTTGGGAATAAGCCCGTCCCACTCCAGAGTAGCCATTTGTGAAGACCTCTCCGTGAACAAACTTGACGCCCCGCTCTGCTCCAATGGAGCCAACTCTGACAGAGTGACTGACGAGAAGCTAGAGTCAAAACTGTTGTTCAGATCCCCCTGTTCATGGTCTGTGGAGTATGGTCTATCTGGGGACACGCCTCCCCTTTGGGTACTACCGTACTTCAATCCGTAGGTAGGACTCTGAGATGGCCGGACATGCGGATAGCTTCCAGTCTTATGTGGTGCTGGCAAGCTGCAAGCCAGTCTTCTATCCTCCGGTGCGAATGAGTCGTGATAACCCAGCCCTTGCCTATAATGTTCCGGAGACGCTGCATAAGGAGGGGAAACCGAGCCGTAGTCTGAGTGCTCGTAACTCGGGTAGTAATTTGGTCTGGGGCTGAGTGGGTTTGGGCTGGTCTGTAGGTCCCTCCAGGATAGTGGCTCGTCCACTGGTGGGGAGTTGGTGATCACATCCTGAACATGTCCTTCCTGGGGAACAAAGTCCTCCTCCGCAAAACCTTTGGTAGTGGCCAGACTCTGCAGATATTCGGCATGCTCGTCTGTGATCTCCACAAGCTTCACCCCTCCGCCAGTGTTGTAGGATGAGTACACAATGTCAGTCTGGTACCAGGGCGGCCCGTAGCCAGGCATACCTGAGTAGTGCCGCCCTGCAGGAGGGGCTGTGTAGGGCCTGGGGGCGTACTCTGCATGTGGCACTCCCCAGTCCGTAACTCTAGGATCCGGGTACGCGTACGCATTCATATCTGCTAGCGCCGTGGAGGACAACTTATGGGCACGTCCAGCGGGGCCATCGGCGTGGAGGCGTCTGCTTTTGTCGGGTGACTCTGGGCACACAGGGCTGCGTACTGCAAACACGGGAAACATTTGTCAAACGAGTGACGCATAATGCAGTGAGAGCCAGTACTAACACACGGGGTGTGTGTGTATTTACAGGACTGGGAAACACACCAGAACGGCTAACCTGTTGCAAGTTAATAGGTCTTGTCCTATTAGTGAGCCCTGATTCTTACCTATTATGTGGCAATGCATTAGACCAGTTATGTGCATATAGTGGTGGGAAAGCAAAGGTAAGCCTTCTCATCCCCACGTGAGTGTTTGCACGGCACTTTTGTCTGGAAGTAGAAAGAAAACTAAACTCACTTTAAATTGGAGGACAAACATCTTATGCTTCTTTTCCCTTTGGTCGCTAATAGCGGCAAAACTGGTGGGAACGAGCGTTTATTCGTTCTCACACAGCCAAAGCCGCGTCTTTCAACACTTCCCCATAACGATTGAAGGGGAAAGGATTTTCGCAGAAGGCAAGATGATACAGAAATGCACATAATCAAGTACGGATATTAAGATTGAGAGATTAATTCTCTTGTTTTTCACTGCATTCAAAGCTGCAGGGTTGATGCCTGTTAAATATACAGCTGTCTGAGTTCACAAAGCTGTCTCCAACTTGTAAATGCAACAAAGGGCTCTCATATTACAGCTGAATACTTGACACACATAGCAGTGAATTAACATGTACAAATTAATGCTCCTTGTATCATTTGGTTCGGGTGAACAGTCACTACAGAGAAAAAGAAGCAGAACAGCAAAATAACCATCATAACAAAATAATTCACAACTGTAGAGAAAACAAACAAACAAACAAAAACAATTTAAGCCTATGCAAACAAAAACAAAGAAAAAATTGAAAGATGTATGTCAATATTTTATAGAAATTTTTGGTAAAGTAACTTTTAAAATCTAACTTCCATAACTTTCTAACTTTCTATTTTGAGATTTTGTACAATGTATCATTCTGAGATCTAAGTCCTTGGTCAATAATCAGAAATTAAGTAAGTTTGCTTGAAGTGTCAAAGCTTCTGTCTGTTTTTTTTCTTTCAACTATAGTTTTTAAGTCAAATTAAGGGTTGTTTTGAGTCATTCCTTCTCACAAAACACAGTTTTTATCCTTGCATAAACCAAGGAGATTCCTTTCATTAGCTCCATAGTGTGCGTCTGTTGGTATGTAAATACATGTACCACCTGTGTTGTTATCCTGATTAAAGAACAAAGGTGATGACAGTAATCAACTATTTGACACCTGTTCCTAAATTAGAACTGTGACAACAAATGCTAACCATTGGGTAGGACCTGTCAACACTTCAAAACCACTTGAATATGTTTGTTACATTAGGCAGTACTGCTAGATGATTACATGTGTGTTTGCTTTGTTGTTGTTTTTTTTAAACCATCCACAGCTTTATAGTAAATCAGGCAAATATGGAGAAATGATTTGTCTCTCTCATGTTCAAAAATTGTCTCAAAAGCTTTCAAAACATCAAGACGGTTATAGTGCTTTGTTGTATCAAAGCTGATGAATAAAGAAAAAACTGCAAGAAACAGAAATTCTTAGCAAGTTATAAAGCTTTCGACTCCAACACTGTGTAACTGTGAAAAGGTAGGAAATGTCAGTTTATACAAACACTTTGACATCATCTGTGAATGAGGGCAGGGCAAAGGTTTGTGGTCTTTCTGAATGCTGTTTTTACAGATCAATACAGTAACGCTGACTTATGTATGACCAGTTTACTACATCACTTATGTTTACTTTATTTATCTTCAAAAGGGAAATGTAATGCTGCTTATGCAAAGTCCTGGGGGGCACAACGTAACAAAAACATTGTCTGTTGAACCCAATAGGCTACCTTAAGCCTCGGACACAACCCGCCGTGCTTCTGCGTGCTGTCTACATGCAAAATCGTTGGCAAACGTAGGGCATTCGTGCGTGGTGAGTACCACCTCTGTACGGAATCCTACGGATTTGGGAGCACGCAGACACGCCGTAGAACTTTAAGTGCATGTAAAACTTTTCATGCGTGCGGTCTGCGGATTCACCACCCGTACATGCGACGTGCGTGCCCTGTACAGCCTATGAGCATACAACGCACGTTTTCAGAAAAACGTAGCAGACGTGGCCCCAAAAAAACGTACGGACAAAAAGCATGCACAGCGGGTTGTGACCATGGCTTTACTTTATGGATGATATCCTACATGTGCAGACAGTATTTACTGACAAAGATACGGGCTTACCTGTCCTATTTACACCTGTGTAGGGGTGACGCACGTCTGTAAGGTGTGTAGATTTACAGGCTGGGATGTTCTCTTTGCCCCATTCTGCGTCAAGCTTTTGTAAGACCTGTGTATACACATGTCAAACAGAGTACAGGAGTTAGCATTGACAAACGTACCTTCAACACAGGAAGTGGACTTGGTCAGCTACGGAAGTTTGTACAACAAAGTACACAGCAGACAATTACAAAGCATTTACTCATGTATTCTTGAAAGGCAGGGTAACTGATTGCATGTATATCTCATACAGCTAACTGCAGTGAACATAATAAATTCATCTTTTGGACTACTGTTTCTCTGATTTTCTACATCATATCGTAACCCACTAATAAAAATCAAAAGGAACGAATACAATCTTCCTCCACACAACAACACTACCTAGTAACGAACATCGAAAGAGATGTCCTACTTTGTTGGACAGTTTTAAAAGAGCCTTGCAAAACTCTTCAACATGACGATAATGTACTTGAAATGTTGCCAAAGGCAACATAACTCACAGTTCAGAACTTTGTGTGAAATCTGAGGAAATATCAAAACTGGAAAACTTGTAAGGTACGTTACTTCCTGCAGGTGTTGGGTAACTAGGCTGACCTATGCGTGCCCTCTTGTACTACACTATGCCCTAGAGCCACACGCTTTTTTAACATATGACAAACAGTTCCCTAGTATCAAACTTACCAGAAGCAGGCAAGTTAACCATCCTAGTCAGCAGAATATCCTAGACTTTCAACCAGAAAACATGCTTATAAATCACTGACATAATACTCAACATAGGCAAAACAGAACTAACCCTTAGCTACAAACACTGGCTGAGTAGACTGAAGGAAGCACGCTAACAGTGGGCAAGCCTTCGCCCCAGGGAACATTCCTCCCAGTACAACCACCTTATCACACAAATTACATCAACAAACAGCCAATGACAGCAGTGGTCTGTGGAGAAGGCAGACTCCATCCATCAATTACTGGTTAATTATGCAGTGTTAGAAATGCCACCCAATCATCAACAGCTCTGACGTAATACACTCAGTAGAACTAGAAATCATAGGGCTGATAGTGATGGAGTTACAACTAGTACGTCAAAACAATTGAATACAGTAGTACACAAACTGTGACAAAGCATATATTGACAGAACCAAGCAGCTACAATGTCTAGCAACATCTTTGCCCATCATCACATGTACATTGCAATCTCGGTTACTCATCTAATACCTGCATAGATGTGTAACAAGATATCAAATTGCTTTAAATTTCTAGCCCAACCAAGAAATCCTTCTAACCAGGGCCGCGAAATTTCCTTTTTTTACGCCTGTGCTACTGAGACCACCACCGGAAAGTAAAACTGTGACCAAGAAACAATCCAATTTATTGAGGGGAAGCCACAGTTTCTTTCATGCAATTTTCTCCATGAAATGGAATTATGGCTACATTCTGAGACAAAAGTTGGCGTGGCCATGAAATGTTTTAGTGGACACATTATAGAGGTCACCTTACAGGAGGAACCATAGTAATGTCTGTAATCCCTGTGGAATCTGCTCATTAGCACCAACTAGACAAGGGAAACACTGTGTTACATACAGGCCAGTCCCCAGGACACCACCATAGATACCTGTAAATGCTAACTGTCATGACCTTTGATGTCATGACCCAAATTTTTCTCCACTAATAAATTGTCATATCATGTCACCAGGCCTGTTTTTAGGTAGATGAATACCTTTGCAAGCTCTGTTCAAAGATTCAATCTTTCAAAAATCACTGTCTTTCTAAAAAAAAAGGCGCGACTTATGAATGAAGTTCGACTTAAGGTTGTAGATCGTTACCCTTCTATTCTTGACCTTAACAAAGCAAGTGAAGATTTAATTGGGCCATTAATGACATGACATCTGAATGCCCTTTCTTCCCCGGACTGAATGGCCTTTGTTATTTTCACTTTCTGCAAAGTCTTGAGACAACAGCGAGCTTTGTTCCCTCGCGGAACTTAGCAGCAATATTCATGGTTGCTGCACTCAGGAGTCTACGCCGTTACCGACGACAATAGTTGCTATGGTTACGGACGCAATCGGTCTCCATTAGGACTCACTTTTATGACCAAAGGTCAACTTCTGGGCCAGAAAAAAGTGCGGAGGGGTCGTATTTCCTAGACACTAACCAAACTAGTTAAAACTTTAACAATTGAGACTGCAGTAAGATGTAGAAATTTACTACTCAAGTATTCAATAAAAAGGCATCACAAGCACAAACAGGGAAAGCAGGCTAGAAAGGAAAAGAACACGGCTGTCAAATAGTGCTGCAGCTTGCCAACTGAGCCCCTTCATAACACCTACCATTCTAAATAGGACTACTGAAAAACCTTTTAGTTTTTTAACAAGTTGACTTGCTGGCCAGGTGCAAGTTTTGTACAACATGTAACTTAGAATGAACTTAGATGAACTTAGAAAGTTCATCTGTGTTGGTAGAAGTCATTATGCAGCAAGTTTAAACTGTTATTTCCAACACAAGAAATTGGACTCAACCAAATCATCGACTGTACAACTCCAGTCTTTGTCAAGGAATGAACAATCCACCGCTTCTGTGACGTCACGCAGATAACCCTCAACAGAGACGGGGGGCGCTACAGACTTTCTGCAACCTATGATCCACTGCTCACGGAGTCACTGTGTCATCTGCGTGACGTCACGGAAGTGGTGGATTGTTCATTCCTTGACAAAGACTGGAGTTGTACAGTCGAAAATTTGGGTGAGTCCAATTTCTTGTGTTGGAAATTACAGTTTAAACTTGCTGCATAACTTAGAATATGTTAGATATTTCTGCAAATCCCCCTGGTCCTAAGCTGAAAATCAACTGTTCTGTTCCATGTGCTACTGATTATAGTCTGATACAAAAGAGGGTCTCTCAAATGTACCTGGTTTTGTTACCAACTTTCCACTACATTTCATGGCAATAATCATTTGGTACAATTGTTTGTACTCCCTGGGTCTAACAACAAAGTGCTCTGTCACCTGGATGAAATGAGGAAAGAATGGGTGTTATGGTCTAAAAATTGCCTCCTGATAGTATCAGTTCAAAACATTAGGGTAAAGAGTGTATACACTGTAATATTAAGAATGTATTAGCCTCTGTTGAAAATAGGATGCCAATGTTTTGTCATAAATTTCACCCTTTGTTCACTGTGGTTATAAACCGGATACCTTTATACTGTTGAGGACACATTATATACTTTTACAAGTGAAATGGTAGAATAGTCAGAAAGGTTTACTGTAACAGTAATTTCCTGTTGGAGAATACTAGTAGTTAGGCCACACCGCCTTAATTTTATGGATGACATCCGCGCGCGCATTGATTTTCACCTGTCGCCCTAAAAAAAAAAAGATCACGTCCATCGAGGCTCTGGCCTAGGCCTGGGTAGTTCATTGTAATTTGCGACAATACGGAACCGAGCACCCAAGCTATCAAATTCAAAGCTCCACGACTCAAGAACTCAGTACATACGTACAATACCGATTCATAAATTCCGCAAAAAAGCCAGCATGTGCCGGCTTGTCGTGTACGTCACTAAGTACTGCCGCGAATTCGTATTCCTGTGGTTTAGTAGCATTTTTATTTTTGGCCGGATTTTTTTTCCCCGCGCGCACTAGTTTGGGGGTCTTCAGATAGAGGATGTCATCCATAAAATTAAATCGGTGAGGCCTTACTGCCATTTCTGACTCACAACAAAATGTCATTAAGTAAAACACGTGTGCCTCAACAAAGAAATTTCTGACAACCTATGACTTGACTTGTATTGTCTTTATGTCAAAGGCTGACAAATGGGATATTTATATTAACGTTAAGTTGAACTTTGAAGTTGAATCAGGTTTTAATGATTTACCCAAATATCCCTCATACAGGATAGTATTAGGGTTGACGGATCAAACAACATTTCTTAGTAATTTTATAATCAGAAGTATGATTGCTTTGTGTCAATGATGACAAAACTACAGATCAACAAACTGTTGGTGTTGCTTCATCTCTGTGACATGTATAGGACAATTTTTCCTATTTCAAAAATAAATGATTTTGCAGCCTGGATATCAATAGATCTCCTTTATATGAGTGGATATAACAATCAAAAAACAAAAGTTACATACATATTATCTGATCTACAATTATATTATATATTATGTTATTTTTTCTCTGCATTTTAAAATCATGTTGTACTTTGCAAACTAAAGTCACCTTAGGCCACACCAATTTAATTTCTTGGTTAACGGATTCACCCGCTTCATTTTTTTCTGATTTGCAAATAAAAATAAAAATTCAGAATCAACTGCAAAATGCTCATATTTTGCCCTGAACAGTTGAAAACAGTTCTTTTCATTCTAGTTGTTACAGTTATGTCATCTTTCAATGCAATAGTATATTTAAAAGTTCAAAATTCATTGTTTAAATTTTGAACCAGCCTGGTGTGTTGACTTCATGGCTCCTATCGTACCATTTTGGGCCTTAATAGGATGCCTAGGCCTGTTTTTATTTTTATTTTTTTTCGCCCGCCCGCTCCATTATTTTTCTAGAAAAATCCGTTAACCAAGAAATTAAATTGGTGTGGCCTTAAGATGATAAACTATACATGTCTTTTTCTATTGATAGCTCTTAAATGATGGAACACAACGTTTACTGAGGGTCTGACACCTTCTAGCAGCCGGCCACAGTTTTAAGGTATATGTTCGTACGTTGCACACGTACAGTGGCAAAGGTCATTAACGTGTAAGCCACAAGTGCCAAATAAAAAGACTGCCCCAATTTGTACAACTGACATGTATATGATCAAAGGGCACACACGGCGGCAAAGCAAACAGTCACAACAATCTTAACAGAGCTTACGTGTAGGGAGGGATTTCTCATACTTTATCAATGCTGAATCAACTCTCTAACAGTGTGCAAAAGGTCTATTTACAAAGTGTACCCTATGTATGTTACCAAAGTTCTGACCAACAATTAAATGTCAAACTACATCAATTAAACATGCATTTTTTGCTCATTGATATATCTATTTTCCTACGATTTAATTTTGTGGTTTTTGTGGTGACTAAT